CGTAAATGACGACGATATCCGTTGGCTTCAGTTCTTGGCTGAATTTTCAGCCAAGAAAGCCATTTCAGCCATTTCGGCATAAAGAGACAACTTTCTCGATAACATTCTGTGGTGCAACGAAAGTCGTTTCCATAATAATGGAATAGTATGCAAGCAAAATAATCGATATTGGTCTCAATACAATCTTAGTTGGACCGTACAAACAAATCATCAATCAAACAACCTTATAATCAATAAATCACCGTGACCTGGAGTCTCTGCAGAACAACCACCCTGAACTGTTTAATATTTTGCTGGACGCATTAAAAAGACAAGATAAGTTTTATTTTGTTGTTCCAATTATTATTATGGTATCATTGCCAAATATTATATATATATTTCTGGCATATAATATATCTTAATGCCGAGGTCGCTTGCGGCCGAGTCAGTACAATCTCCAAACGGATAAATATATTTCAATGCCGAGGTCGCTTGCGGGCGAGGCATTATAATTTTGAAGGTAATACTGATCCAATGGAAATTAATCTTGTCATGATACGTTAATATTTGGTATTATTGCCAAATATGATATGTATGTCTCTGGCATAACGATAATATATCTTAATGCTGAGATCGCTTGCGGCCGAGGCAGTACAATCTCCTAACGGATAAATATATTTCAATGCCGAGGTCGCTTGCGGGCGAGGCATTATAATTTTGAAGGTAATACTAATCCAATGGAAATTAATCTTGTCATGATACGTTAATATTTGGTATTATTGCCAAATATGATATATATGACTCTGGCAGAACGATAATATATCTTAATGCTGAGGTCGCTTGCGGCCGAGGCAGTACGATCTCCAAACGGATAAACATATTTCAATGCCGAGGTCGCTTGCGGGCGAGGCATTATAATTTTGAAGGTAATACTGATCCAATGGAAATTAATCTTGTCATGATACGTTAATATTTAGTATTATTGCCAAATATTATATATATATTTCTGGCATATAATATATCTTAATGCCGAGGTCGCTTGCGGCCGAGGCAGTACACTCCCCAAACGGATAAATATATTTCAATGCCGAGGTCGCTTGCGGGCGAGGCATTATAATTTTGAAGGTAACACTGATCCAATCGAAATTAATCTTGTCATGATACGTTAATATTTGGTATTATTGCCAAATATGATATGTATGTCTCTGGCATAACGATAATATATCTTAATGCCGAGGTCGCTTGCGGCCGAGGAAGTACAATCTCCAAACGGATAAATATATTTCAATGCCGAAGTCGCTTGCGGGCGAGGCATTATAATTTTGAAGGTAATACTGATCCAATGGAAATTAATCTTGTCATGATACATTAATATTTGGTATTATTGCCAAATATGATATATATGTCTCTGGCAGAACGATAATATATCTTAATGCTGAGGTCGCTTGCGGCCGAGGCAGTACTATAATCTCCAAATGAATAAATATATTTCAATGCCGAGCTCGCTTGCGGGCGAGGCATTATAATTTTGAAGGTAATACTGATCCAATGGAAATTAATCTTGTCATGATACGTTAATATTTGGTATTATTGCCAAATATGATATGTATGTCTCTGGTATAACGATAATATATCTTAATGCCGAGGTCGCGTGCGGCCGAGGCAATATAATCTCCAAATGAATAAATATATTTCAATGCCGAGGTTGCTTGCGGCCGAGGCAGTACACTCTCCAAACGGATAAATATATTTCAATGCCGAGGTCGCTTGCGGGCGAGGCATTATAATTTTGAAGGTAATACTGATCCAATGGAAATTAATCTTGTCATGATACGTTAATATTTGGTATTATTGCCAAACATGATATGTATGTCTCTGACATAACGATAATATATCTTAATGCCGAGGTCGCTTGCGGCCGAGGCAGTACAATCTCCAAACGGATAAATATATTTCAATGCCAAGGTCGTTTGCGGGCGAGGCATTATAATTTTGAAGGTAACACTGATCCAATGGAAATTAATCTTGTCATGATACGTTAATATTTGGTATTACTGCCAAATATGATATGTATTTCTCTGGCATAATGATAATATATCTTAATGCCGAGGTCGCTTGCGGCCGAGGCAATACAATCTCCAAATGAATAAATATATTTCAATGCCGAGGTCGCTTGCGGGCGAGGCATTACAATTTTGCAGATATAAAAAAAAGATACAACCTCGATTTTGGAATATTTTCATTAATCGTAGGTGCCTATGGAAAAAAATTGTAAGTAAAGACAACCTGATAAAAAAACATTTCTAAATATCGAAAAACATTTACGTGAGACAGGAAATTTAAGACAGAGATACGTAAATAACGGGAAACTAAGGTCAGTTCGTACACCCCAACTAGAAGAAAACATTTTGGATTTTGTGATAGATTATAGTACTGTTGATAGCAACAGTTTAGACATTTCAGAATATCCAAAGGTACGTCTTGCCATGTTCTACATGAACAGCAATTGTATCCATCCATTTATCGAGAGTACAAGAATTTAAAATTGATGATCATCCATCGAAAATGCAATGTTGCCATACTATGATGGAAAGATGTAGTGTTGATGCTGCGTTTTTAGAAAAAAGTACTTTTTACAGATAACCAATAATTTGAGAAATGCTGAAGAATTGTACTGAAGAAAATCCAGATTTCATGCTACGTTGAGTAATAATTTGACAGATTTCTACTATTAGTTATCAATAATTCATCTTGTATATATACAGGCTGTTTCACTTAAAACTCACATACCAAGTATCTCTGAAATNTTAATATTTGGTATTATTGCCAAATATGATATGCATGTCTCTGGCATAACGATAATATATCTTAATGCCGAGGTCGCTTGCGGCCGAGGCAGTACAATCTCCAAACGGATAAATATATTTCAATGCCGAGGTCGCTTGCGGGCGAGGCATTACAATTTTGCAGCTATAAAAAAGATACAATCGATTTTGGAATGTTTTCATTAATTAAATTAAATAACGGGAATCTAGGGTCAGTTCGTACACCCCAACTAGAAGAAAACATTTTGGATTTTGTGATAGATCATAGTACTGCTAGTACTGTTGATAGCAACAGTTTAGACATTTCAGAATATCCAAAGGTAGGTCTTGCCATGTCCTACATCAACAGCAATTGTATCCATCCATTTGTCGAGAGTACAAGAATTTAAAATTGATGATCCATTGAAAATGCAATGTTGCCATACTATAATGGAAAAATGTAGTATTGATGCTGCGTTTTTAGAAAAAACTACTTTTTACAGATAACCAATAATTTGAGAAATTAATATTCATTTTTGTTTTCTTTTCACCTAGGTAATTCAATTAAACAAATTTTGCACTTAAAGGTGAAATGTGTTTATTATCACTCTACCGGTATTATGATAATAATAAAAAGTGATGTATGATAGCACATGTTTAGAGATTAACATTTTAATAGTGAATTAATTCAATAAAATATCACATACATGTTTAGTTGTTCAAAAAATTGACGAACTCCTGAAGATGTTCCGAAAGGAGCGAAACCGGTAGAGTGATAATAAACACATTTCACCTTTAAGTGCAAAATTTGTTTAATTGAATTTGAGAAATGCCGAAGAATACTTGTGAAGAAAATCCAGATTTCATGCTACGTTGATACGTTAATAATTTGTCAGATTTCTACTACTAGTTACTAATAATTGATCTTGTATATATACAGGGTGTTTCACTTAAAACTCACATACCAAGTATCTCTGAAATATATTGAGATATTCTACTTTTGTAAAAAGTTGTTGAATTATAAAGAAACAACTTTCTCAATAGCATTCTAAAAAGACAAGATAAGTTTTATTTTGTTGTTCCAATTATTATTATGATGAAAAATTTATTTGGAAACTTAAAATGTAATTCTGTTTTTTATTTTGTTATTTATGTTAGTAAATAATGTTGTAACCACCTTGGTTTATATGAATAATTTTGTTTCAATTCTTTTCTTCTTTAATGTTAAATATCTTCGAATCTACTAAGTTTTGAAAGTTGCTCAGTTTTTGATGAAGGGAAAGTTTCTTTTGATTGCAGCGCCATCTTTATTTTTGTATAATGAATACTAACAATACTTAAGAACTGAAGTAATTTACGTACTCTAACAAAAAATTTTTAGAAAACTAAAATATCTCAACCCATTCCAGAGATACTTGGGGAGTTTTAAGTGATCAAAATTGTACTGCCTCGGCTTTTTATATATCAACGTGTTTCTTTATTTGTTTGATTAGCATTGAACGATGATGTAATCGGGATTTTTTCTAAAAACATACAACAATAAAAAAACGGGAGGTTGAATTAATCAACATTAATTATTATTAATCATTACGAAACGGCATAACTGAATAAATCTAAGCATCAAATCGTTTTAAAACGATTCTTTACAAGTTACAACTGGTGCTACTTTCGTCGATGTCGTTCTATTTGTTTTCTACTCGTTAAAAAAAAAATAATAAGTATTTTTAGTCGGCACCTTTTGATCTTTGTTCGTCAACGGCGTGCGTGTGTTTGTCATTGTTTTATCTTTGTTCTTTTGAAGTAAGCCGCTTCCAAAAATTTTAACACAAATTTAGATTTCAAATCGAAATTCTCAAGCACTACTAAAAATCGGATTAAAAGCAATCAAGTTATTTTTTATTAATTAACTTATTGTTAGATAGGTCGTGTTTGGTGTTAAATATTTTGGTTTAAATTTTGTTATTTAAACGTTACGAATTTAATTAAAGTGAGTTTGAGGATTTAAAATTTAAATTAGATACTTATTTGTTGTTTTTTTTAAAGATGAAACAACGCGGGGGGTTCTCCCCGTTCCGGTTTATAATTTATACGTTGGGGGCCCAGTTAGAACCATAGACAATAGCAGTAGTAAACGATACGCCGTTTGTCACTTTGCGCATACATTAAATTTACATATCCGTTTCGCTACCTTAAAATGTTAATTTCTGAACCACCTTTATAAATTTTTTTTGTTTCAGGTTTTTATACGAAGAAAGAAAAATGAGCCATCATCGAGAATCATCGGCTTTCGTACCTGTTGTGCCAACGAGAAACGTCCATCCGTTAATTTACCAATCGGAGATGCATCCGCTTTTAAGTACAACCGATTTAATCCGATCCGGCAGCGGGGAATCCCGCGATCCACCTCAAAAGCCACCTCCATCGATCGAAACCCCTTCAACGTCCTCCTCAACCTATCGAAAATCAACATCAAATTTCGAAATAATGGCCATGATGGCCGATAAACGCAAAGAATTACAATTAAGGGAAGAAGTCGCTTGTGTTGCAGCCGCTCACGCCTTGATGATGCCCCATAGACCCGCAGCGCCGCCCCCTGGATTATTAGAAAGTGGTGCTGGTACGCCGCAAGGATATCCGGGATTTTTAGCCAATAATCCTGCTGGTAATCCTGCCGCTGGGTTTGGATTTCCAGCTGGTGCGGCGGGGTTGTTTCCCGGGGGACCACCTCAAATGCACGCCCATTTAGACCGGAGATTATTAAGGGCCACAGGGAGAGCGTCCAGACCTAAAAAACAATTTATTTGTAAATTTTGTAATAGACAATTTACGAAAAGTTATAATTTATTAATACACGAAAGAACTCACACCGATGAACGTCCGTATAGTTGTGATATTTGCGGAAAAGCTTTTAGAAGACAAGATCATTTAAGAGATCATAGGTAAGATTTTTGACGTTTAACGATTTAATGACATTTAATTAGTGATTTTTGTTTTAATTTCTTTTTGGGTTGGTACCAAAAACAATTAAATCAAATTATTTTTATAAGAAATTTCATAATTTAATTAATTTAGTTATTAAATTAATCTTAATTTAATAATTAATTATTATTAACAAGAAATAAGAATTCTAAATTAAAATAAATTAATTAATTTTTGGTTATGCGAGGTTGGTATGTTTGAAACGTCAAATTCAATTTTAATAATTTTTAGGTTATGTATGTTTTAATCGTTAAAAACGTTAATAAGGATAAAATGGTTGTTGATCCCTTACTTGTGGTGTAGTAGCCGCATAAAAAGATCTTACACGAGTCGATTCCGCGCGTGCGTGTGTGTATGTGTCGGGGCCCCGTTTCTCTTCTTTGCTGATGTGGTCGCTCTTGGATACGCGTTCACGGTCCGCATTCCACCTGGTATTAAACCGGAGCAATTTATAATCTCGACTTTTTGATCTTTCTTTGGACCTCTCTCCTTTTCAACTCGTTGTAGAACGCATTCCATAAGAGGAGAGGAATTAATGAACATGGATATCAAAAAAGAATCAGTTTTTTAACCTCAAAAACGGTTAAAATGTGACTTTTTTAAAGGTGATGTAATGTTTAAAACGCGGAAAATCGTTCAAATGTGGAGAATAAGTCAAAGTGTCAAAGGTTAGGTGACTTTCTAAGGAGTAAATTGTTGCAATAACACGGCTTTTTCGTATACGCAATAGTTGGCGTAAGAATAAGAGCCCCGCGGGGGGGCCGCGTACCGTTGCGTGTACTTTCCAATTAAAATCGCGTTGTTGTGTCGTGAGTCGTTGAACAGCACAATTGCATTTTGCCTCAGTCGATGATGATTGATCGATTTCGCTCTGGTTTCATATTAAATCGTTTTCTATTATTTCATAACCCAAAAATTCCAAACAAAGAACCACGTCTCAAATTTTTTTCTTCCGATTGGACTGCAATTTGGGTTTAATCTTCCTTCGATTTTTTCATTGTAATTATAGTTAGGTAGAGATGGAGGGCCCCGGAGCACGTTCGAAATTGCACACCACCGAGAAGGGTCTTGTAATTACAAGACGCGGACCCCATCCGCGGCATGCCTCGCATGTAAATTCGACTTTTCATCTCACTCCTCTTCATTTCTCATTTTTTATTACCAATTTCATCTAAAACAAACAAACAAACAATAAATTAACAAACAAAAATTTGACGTTTACATCACACAAATGACAGTTCAACATGAAGTTAGATTCAAATTTGACATTAACAATTAATCCATTTTAAACATTTCGAAAATCTCGCCCCAAATAAGTCATTTCATAACCTTCCCTTCATTTCTCATTATTTATTTTCAATTTCATCTAAAACAAATTAACAAATAAAAATTTGACGTTTAATCATTAAAATGACAGCTCGACATGAAGTTAGCTTCAAATTTGACATTAATAATTAATCGATTTTAAAGATTTCGAAAATCTCGCTCCAAAACGAAAGATTTCTAGAAAGACCGCTCCCATTCTCTCTCTTTCTCCACCATCACATCACAACACTCATTTTGCTCCAGTAAAACGCGCGGTCGTGCCAGAAGGCGCCTCTCCTCCTTCCTCCTGCTCCTCCTTGTCCAACTCTCAATCTAAAGTCCGTTCGAAAACCTGTTTTCCGCATCGTCGAAACAAGAAAGAGATCGAAATAGAATGGGCTTACCGTAAGATGGAGAGGAGAAGAAGAAGAAGGAAACGACGCGGTTTGAGACGACGTCGTCGTCGAACTCTTCTAGAAACGCTGGGCGAAGGATAAGAAGAGGAGTTCGAGTTCGAAATCGTTCCTCGAGATGAGGACGAAGAGATGGAGTGAGACGGCGAACGAGGGAAATAACCTTCCAGGGCCTCTAGAACGCCGAAGCAATAAGAAGAAGAAAGAAAGAGGAAGGTTAGAAACGCCAAGAGGCGAAGTAGCAGTTGTAGTAGTAGTAGAGGAAGAAGAAATAAGTTTCTAGCGGTTTACAAGAGATGTTTTATGAGAAAATTTTTAAATTTGAATTGGTTTTTCAAGTGGCTCTTCATTTTCAAGTTGTTCAAGTTCCTTTATCACCAATAACTGGTTGTAATTGAGGTGCATTTATAATCGCCACTTTTTATTGAACAGGTTCTGTAACGAATTTTCAGAATTAAAAAAAAAAGATAATATTTACAGAAATAATTCAAAGATGATGTAAAGTTATGGTCATTTGTAAAAGAGAACATCATGTGCAGAAGATTAATATCATGGCAGAAGCAAATCATTATAGACTTGCTAGAGCTGCTTTAATGCTTGCGTAATACAGAAAAAGTTTTGAAATATTTTCAAACAAGCAAAAGTTATCGTACAAAAGTAAATTGTTAATGACGAAATGCTTCCAAGATATTAGGCTGTCTTAAATTTGCCTTTTTAACAGAAAAAAGAAACTCTTGAAATACAGATAAACCTTTTGTGGTCTATTTGTAGTTGCGCTTTTGATATACGTTTCAAAAATTGCTGCCAGAATAAATATGCAACAATCAGATGTGCAACAATCACACTGGAAACACTTTAACTTGCAAGAAAAACTCAGGAGTTGGATTGGTCAAAGTCAACTTTAACAAGGCATGATCCACCATCATAACAAAGTATAGAGAGAAAGAAAAAATTTTGGACTACACTGATTAATCCCTAAGTAAAAAGAATAGGTCTAGAATTATGCTAAGTTTTGATGATTAATTTTATACAACTGAATGAATTGGGTTCTGCTGTCAAATCAACTACGCAGAGAATTGAACTGGATTGATAGTCTACTTTTAGACAGTTTATATGCTATAGTACAATATTGCCCATATTTTTAAGCCATATTTTATTGCCCATAGTTATGATAATAACTGACAGTTTATTGATATTTCAAGGATCAAATTTCAAACTTCCTTTATGTTTGACATTTTAATTGACAGATGAACGTCATTTTCTATCATTTATTTACATTTCATTGGTCAAATTTTACGATTTTATTCGATACGAAGATTTCTAAGTCAAATGTGACCCATTAACAACTTATCAAGATTTAATTCCCAAGTGTCTTATTGTTTGACATTTTGATTGACAGATGAATGTCATTTTCTATCATTTATTCACATTTCATCTGTCAAATTTGAAAAATTTATTCGATGCGAAGCTTTCTGTTGTTAAGTAACCCACTAACAACTTATCAAAGATGTAATTTACAATTTTTTTTTAATTTGACATTTTGATTGACAGATTAACGTCATTTTCTACCATTAATTAACATTTCATCTGTCAGACTTGAAGATTTTATTCAATGCAAAACTTTTAATGTCAAAAATTACAGTTTAAAAATGTTTCAAAGATTTTATTTGCATATCTTCTTGCTGTTTGACATTCAAATGACAGCTAAATGTCATTTTCTAGAATGAATTGAATTTTCATCTGTCAAATTTGAAGATTTTGTTCAAAGTGAAGCTTTCAATGTCTAATGTAGCGATTTAATAATTTGTTAAAGATCTAATTCACAATTTTCATATTGTTGGACATTTCAAATGACAGATAAATGTCATGTTTAAGAATTAATTGACATTTCATCTGTCAAATTTGAAGATTTTGTTCAATGTGAAGCTTTCAATGTCAAATGTAGCGTTTTAATAATTTGTTAAAGATCTAATTCATAATTTTCTTGTCGTTTGACATTTCAAATGACAAATAAATGTCATGTTTCTTAATTAATTGACACTTCATCTGTCAAAATGGAATATTTTGTTCAACGCGAAGCTTTTAATGCAAAAAGTGACAATTTAATAATTTGTCAAGGATCTAGTTCACAATTTTCTTATTATTTGACATTTTAAATGACAGATGTAAACTATTTTCTAGAATTAATTGACATTTTATGTTTCAAATTTGAAAATTTGGTTCAAAGTGAAGCTTTCAATGTGTAATGTAGCGATTTATCAATTTGTTACAGATCTAATTAACAATTTTCTTGTCGTTTGACATTTCAAATGACAGATAGATCTCATGTTTCTGGATTAATTGACACTTCATCTGTCAAAATGGAATATTTTGTTCAATGCGAAGCTTTTAATGCCAAAAGTGACACTTTAATGATTTATCAAGGATCTAGTTCCCAATTTTCTTCTTGTTTGACATTTTAAACGACAGATAAAAACTATTTTCTAGAATTAATTGACATTTCATCTGTCAAATTTGAAGATTTTGTTCAAAGTGAAGCTTTCAATGTCAAATGTAGCGTTTTAATAATTTGTTAAAGCTCTAATTCACAATTTTCTTGTCGTTTGACATTTCAAATGACAGATAAAAGTCATGTTTCTGAATTAATTGACACTTCATCTGTCAAAATTGAATATTTTGTTCAATTCGAAGCTTTTAATGCCAAAAGTGACAGTTTAATAAGTTATCAAGGATCTAGTTCACAATTTTCTTGTTGTTTGACATTTTAAACGACAGATGAAAACTATTTTCTAGAATTAATTGACATTTCATCTGTCAAATTTGAAGATTTTGTTCAAAGTGAAGCTTTCAATGTCAAATGTAGCGTTTTAATAATTTGTTAAAGCTCTAATTCACAATTTTCTTGTCGTTTGACATTTCAAATGACAGATAAAAGTCATGTTTCTGAATTAATTGACACTTCATCTGTCAAAATTGAATATTTTGTTCAATTCGAAGCTTTTAATGCCAAAAGTGACAGTTTAATAAGTTATCAAGGATCTAGTTCACAATTTTCTTGTTGTTTGACATTTTAAATGACAGATGTAAACTATTTTCTAGAATTAATTGACATTTTATGTTTCAAATTTGAAGATTTTGTTCAAAGTGAAGCTTTCAATGTCAAATGTAGCGTTTTAATAATTTGTTAAAGATCTAATTCATAATTTTCTTGTCGTTTGACATTTCAAATGACAGATAAAAGTCATGTTTCTGAATTAATTGACACTTCATCTGTCAAAATTGAATATTTTGTTCAATTCGAAACTTTTAATGCCAAAAGTGACAGTTTAATAAGTTATCAAGGATCTAGTTCACAATTTTCTTGTTGTTTGACATTTTAAACGACAGATGAAAACTATTTTCTAGAATTAATTGACATTTTATGTTTCAAATTTGAAGATTTTGTTCAAAGTGAAGCTTTCAATGTCAAATGTAGCGTTTTAATAATTTGTTAAAGATCTAATTCACAATTTTCATATTGTTGGACATTTCAAATGACAGATAAATGTCATGTTTAAGAATTAATTGACATTTCATCTGTCAAATTTGAAGATTTTGTTCAAAGTGAAGCTTTCAATATCAAATATAGCGTTTTAATAATTTGTTAAAGCTCTAATTCACAATTTTCGTGTTGTTTGACATTTCAAATGACAGATAAATGTCATGTTTCAGAATTAATTGACACTTCATCTGTCAAAATTGAATATTTTGTTCAATGCGAAGCTTTTAATACCAAAAGTGACAATTTAATGATTTATCAAGGATCTAGTTCACAATTTTCTTGTTGTTTGACATTTTAAACGATAGATGAAAACTATTTTCTAGAATTAATTGACATTTCATCTGTCAAATTTGAAGATTTTGTTCAAAGTGAAGCTTTCAACATCAAATGCAGCGTTTTAATAATTCGTTAAAGATCTAATTACCAATTTTCTTGTTGTTTGACATTTCAAATGACGGATAAATGTCATGTTTTAGAATTAATTGACAGTTCATGTGTCAAATTTGAAGATTTCGTTCAAAATGAAGCTTTCAATGTCAAATGTAGCGTATTTGTAGTTTGTTAAAGATCTAATTCACAATTTTCTTCTCGTTTGACATTTCAAATGACAGATAAATGTCATGTTTCAGAATTAATTGACATTTCATCTGTCAAAATTGAATATTTCGTTCAATGCGAAGCTTTTAATACCAAAAGTGATAATTTAATGATTTATCAAGGATCTAATTCACAATTTTCTCATGATTTGACATTTTAAATGGCAGATAAATGTCACTTTCTAGAAATAATTGACATTTCATCTGCCAAATTTGAAAATACTGTTCAAAATGAAACTTTTAATGTCAAATATGGTTATTTGACATTTTAAATGATAGATAAACCTTATCTATTAGAATCCATTAACATTTTATGTGTCAAATTTGAAAATTGTCAAACTCAAGCTTGAATTAGTTTTGGAAATCATTACGCAAGTTCAATTTCGTACGATTTTTCGGTTCGCTTCTTCTCAAAGAGATAGAAAAAGAGGAGGAAAGAAAGAGATGGACAAAAAGAGAGAGGGAAACCATTCAATTCCACGGCCTCCTTTAATTATACTCCGAGTGCCATTGTGGCTTGTTCAATACCAACCGCAACGATAAATAAAAAAAAACATAAAGGAACTAAAAAATAAAGAAAAGAAGAGACGCAATTAGCTCTGCAAGATTGAGTTTCTCTTCTACTCACATTCTATGGAGAAAATTTTATTGTAGATGGTCGAGTTTCGTTTATTTCATGCGCGCGTGGCTTCTTCATGTTAGTCGTTTATCTTGACAAGCTACTGAGACAGGAAATTAACTTCCGGATAATTTCCTACCGGTTTTTGTTTTGAATAATAAATGAGAATGTTTGAAATGAATAAAAAAATTCGTTTTCTTTTGAGAGAATTTTAGTGATGTGTGTGTATAACAGGTAGAGATTTTTTTGGGTCGAAAGAAAAAAGGGTCCATCTTCGGTAGAGGAACAGGTTGTGCCCTTTTTTTCGGCGGCTAATAAATAAACCTCCCACATAAAACAGATTTATATCTTTCGACTTCTGTTGTATGTAGAATTATATAAAAATTTTATTTCTTTTATTTCCAGATACATCCACAGCAAAGAAAAGCCGTTTAAATGCACAGAATGCGGGAAAGGTTTCTGCCAATCTCGTACTTTGGCAGTACACAAAATCCTCCACATGGAAGAATCACCTCATAAATGCCCGGTTTGTAGTCGCTCTTTTAACCAACGTTCTAACTTAAAAACCCATTTATTAACCCACACCGACCATAAACCTTACGAATGTAATTCTTGCGGGAAAGTTTTTCGCCGAAATTGCGATTTGAGAAGGCACGCTTTAACCCATGCCGTTGGAGATGTCCCACCGGAAGATGGAAGTGGTTATATCCCAGGGGAAGATCCTCCCGAATCACCTCGAGCGCGAAGTCCATCGTTAGATGGGGAAAGACATCATCAACGAGGGCACTCACCAATTCCTGAAATAACGAGATGTCACGAAGCAAGTTCGAGCTATACAATGAGGCCAAATCCGGAGTTTGGTGGGAGGCGGGAAATTTTATTGGAAGACGATGACGATGAAGAATTAGATTCAGAGATAGACCCGGGCCAAGAAGAATTAGATGTTATCCCCGAAAAAATTGAAAAATTAGAGAAAAAAGTTGAAATTAAAGAAATGATCCATCACCATCACCACCCCCAATTACAAATTAGACGTGATTTATTAGCCAGCCCAAAACCATCAACAATAACATCAACAATAACAAGCGGGGTGCTTGAGCCGCAATATTTGGGGGTTTACCGAAAACGATCTTACGATGGTGAGAGACCAAGTTCTTCTTCGAACATTTCAACGTTAGGAAGACGAACTCCTTTGAGTTTAAACTTATCGGGAAGACATTCCCCGCCGTTAAACCTCATCATCAACACGATGCATCATCAAATGAACCACCAACAATCAATTTTGCAATCGCAGAATTTAAATTCTATTTTAAAACCGCCCGATTTGCTAATTCCGAATTCTTCCGGGTTATTAACAACGGTTAATAATTTAAATTTAAGCGGTTTAAATCAAAACATTGTTGCCGATTTATCGATGAAGAAAGAGGAATCTTTGCAACATCGAAATCAAAATGTACAAAATTTACAACAAAATCATGGGAGTAATAATAATAATAATAATAGCAATCATAATCCGCCTCCAAAGAAATCTGGGTTTACAATAGCTGATATAATGGGGAGATAGCTTTAACCTTCCAGTACACGCGCTTAATACAGTCATACGCGGCGAACTATCAGTCTGCAAATTATCAACATTTGCATCATAACTTCTAAGATTTGCTAAACTTAGAACTAACAATAAATATAGAACGAGAAACACAAGACCTAGAACTAGAAACATTCGGATTTAGCCGCACGTCTTTCAAGACAGCTAAATCCGAATGATTCTAGTGTTAGTTCTAGTTTTAATTATTATACAACACAATTTTTTTATTTCGTTTTGTTCCTAAGATGTTAAAAATGACCTAAGGAACACGATGATTACATACAATTCAAATTTGGCAGAAGCAAAAAAAAATTACACAGCTGCAAAGAGTAACATTAAATTTGCAATTTTAATTTTTGAAATTTTTTTGCTTCTAAAATATATAAAATATGGTTTGTAACACGAGTAATACACACATTTCAATTTTGGCAATGACAAAAAAATTTTATTCGTTATATCCACATAAAACGCACGACAAATATTAGGGCGAAGTGAGGCAGATTGATAAATTATAAATCAAATATGTGATAAAACATAAATGTTTTTAATTTATTTTTAACTCAGTGTGTAGCTAAATATACAGGGTGTCCCACGTAAGCGACAAAATTCATAAATCGCGTTAATAAGCCGAGATACATAGTTCTTCCTTAAACAAAAGTTGTAGGAAATTCACCATATTTTTATACATACAAGGTGTTCCATAACGACGTACCGAAATAAACATATTTTAAATGGAATGACTACAAAAAGGCTACATCGGCATATCTTATACAGGAAGTTCAAAAATGTGACTACTATTTTACCATATTCAAATGCAAACCATATTTGACTAGCGTATCAGATAGAGAATTTAATTCCCTACAAATCTTCAATACATGTCCCTATACCTATCAGTTGTAGTTTTTGAGATATTGTAGAATTAATCAAAATCATACAAAAAATGGCAGATTAATTTTTTCATTAGTAGGCCATGAAATAAGACCATAAAAATACGTGATTAAGCACTAATAATGATTTAAAAAAGAAAATGATAAATAATTCTCAACCAACCTTACACTTAAACGCAATTAGATTATTATTAATAAAAATATGACATTTGAAAATTTGGTTAATTCGTTTTTTTTTAATTTGGATCAAGTCAACGCTTACTATTTGTGTAATTACGAATAATTATGGCGGCATCATTTGAAAGCTGTCAAACGCATATATATTTCTTGGCCTACCATTCTTGCCATTCTTTGCATGACTTTGATATATCTCAACAACTGCAACAGATAGGTATAGGGACATGTATTGAAGATGTATAGAGAATTAAATTCTCTATCTGATGCGCTTATCAAATATGGGGTGCAAATGAATATGGTAAAACAGTAGTTACATTTTTGAACATGAAGTAGCCAATGGCACTCTATTTAAAGATATCCAAACAGTAACTGTCACGAATTTTAACTTTCCAGCTCGATTAGTCGCTAAGAAATTCAAATTTAAAGGACATAGTGTTAATTGCTGAAAAACGTTTTTAATTAAAATAACTCAAAAGCTAAAAGGCATCAACATGTCTTATCAAAGTCAACATATTTTGGTGTGTAGAATCAAAACGTGCAATAAAAACTATATCATTCCATGTTTATTTGGGTACGTCGTTATGGAACATCCTGTATGTATAAAAATATTTTCTCTTTATAGTGTCTTTTTAATATCATTTATGTACTTTGCCGCTTACGTGGGACACGCTGTATAAATATTAAAATGTAAAGTGAAAAAGTGACTGCACTTTGATACATTACTTGGGGTACTTTAATACAGGGCGAAAAATTTATGAACTAGAAGAGATCGTAATCAGTCGCACATTTTATTGTATCTTATATCGAGGAACGCTTCTATCTGGTTTTAATGGTCATTGTATGCACTAAGATCAACTGAAAGAGTAAGTATACATAGATGATCTTTGAGCTGTGCTTTTTGAAAAATTTTATTTAGACAAGTGTAAAACAACAACTCTAGAATCAACGGTTGCTTTGTCTTCTAAATCTCGATTTTTCTGAGATTTGACACTTGATGTCAGTCAAATTGTTAATTTTGGCTATATAATGAACCATAGCTTCAACATTAAGCTATTCTGTAAGTCCCAATAAATTCTTTGCCATTTTCAATTCCTTTGCTTTCTGCTGCATCAATTTAACATGTCGTTTTCTTTCCTATTCTTTGTGTAACATTTCAACAATCCTTTAATAAGTCCTTTCGTTCAGTCTTTCTCGAATGTGGTCGTACTGCTGTTTTAGACATTATGTCATTATTAGTCTGACACAACAGCATTTGGAAATGATGAATCATTGAGAGGGGAAATAATATTCGTTGATGCAGAAATATCAAATTGATTGTCTAAAGGGTCTGCTTGTGTCCTGTTTCTACTAAAGCTTTCATCAATAACTTTCATAACATCATGTTGACTTCTTTCCTGCTCTACAAAAACTGTTTTCTGTTTCTCATCGGTTTCATTTTCTTTAAATTCTTCTTAATAACTGTCACTAACAATTTGTATAGGTGCAAAATCATCGTCCCTACATGAATGTCTATTGAATGGCTTTGAAAAGCTGCTTGTGATATTTTTGGGTGTAAAAGATTCCAAGATGGTAGATTTTGAAAGTTCACCAATGTTATATATAGATAAAGTCTTGCCAATATTTCTAATATGCCAATAATTAAAGGTTATTTTCAGTTTGTCTATAAAGGGGTCAAAAATGCAGACCTCCATCTGTTGCTATTACTATCTCACAAAATGTTTCTAATTCTCCACGTTCAGCTGAAATAATTTGTCCTACTTATCTCTGCATCTTTTTAACCAAAACTTTAGGCGTTAGCGGAACCGTGTGAATACCTGTTTTATCAAAAAACTCAGCCTCCTCACCCTATGGTTCTGCAATTAGCAGTCGAACCCTAGCCTCCTTCATCTTCAGAGTCCACACCTCAATATCGCTTCTCTCTTCCAATTCCTGCATCCCAGCACTTTTCTTGCGTCCACATCGACTATCTCCTCCCATCTTCTTCGTGCTCCTATTCATGAATCTTATTCATTAACATTCTAATCCTCTGAACTCTTATGTAACCTCTGTTTCATTGAGGTTGAGGTATAATTCATGATTCTATTGAATTCTCCATTCGTTATTTTCCTGCACTAATCCCAGAATTCCCCTCAGAGTCTTCCTCTCGAATATACTTACATGTTCTGTTAGATAGGTGTTATTATAGTCTTTTATATTCTGATTTTGACGTTGCGGTGTATTGTTCTGCTTTTAAATATGTTTACGAGAACAACGTAAGTTTAGACAAAAATTGCATCCCAAATATTTTACATACTCATAAGCTAATGACAAAAGTTGCTTCAAGGATAACCCATAATGTATCTTCTTCTTCTCCTCTCTCTTAACAGTCTGCCCTTATCGCATCCATTTTCTCTCCCGAGCAAAATCTCTTCCCATGTTGTTCTCGGTCTCCTTATGGGTCGCCTGCCTTACGTTCTGGCCTTCATGTCTCATTTCCTCCACAATCTCCATCTCTTTCCCAGTCATTATCTTGATATTCCATGTACTTATTCGTAATCTATATACTTTACGCAGTTGTATCTATCATTGTGCGGCTGATTATTGCTGGTTTTAATGGCTATAGTATGCACTAAGATCAACTGAAAGAGTATACATAGATGATCTTCGAGTTGTGCATTTTGAAAAATTTGATTTAGACAAGTCTAAAACAACATCTCTAGAATCGAGATGACATATGACACTTGATTGTCAAATTGTTAATTTTGGCTACATAATGACCCATAGATTTCTTCTTTTCAAATTTGGTAAGAAGGAAATCCCAATATTTATATTTTTAGGATTAGGAATGTTAACCTCCTGCATTAGATACTTCATCATCGTCGTTATCACTTAATTTCAATTCATTTTCACTGCAATCAGAATCTGACATTAGGTTCAAACGAGCTTCTGTAAGTCCCAATAAATTCTTTGCTCATTTCAATTCCTTTGCTTTCTGTTGCATCAATTTAACCTGTCGTTTCTTTTCTTATTATTTGTGTAACATTTGTAGACGATTTTTTTTCGTCCAGCCTTTCTAAGATGTGGTCGTACTGCTGTTAAAGCCATTATGTCATTATTAGTCTGAAAGCCTGACATACCACCATTTGGAAGTGATGAAACGTTGAGAAGTGGACTAATATTCGTGGATGCAATAATATCAAATTGATTGTCTAAAGGATCTCCTTGTGTCTCGTCTCTATTACAGTCACTAACTATTACATCTGTCACTAACAATTTATATATGTACAAAATCATCGTAATGGCTTGAATGGCTTTGAAAAGCTGCTTGTGATATTTTTGGGTGTAAAAGAGTCCAAGAAGGTATATTTTGAAAGGTTATATGTATCGTGTATACCAATCGTTAGGCCAAAAATGCTGACATTTAGTGGCTGCAATTTTTGTAACGTGTGTGGTGGTAAAGAAAGATAGATAGGGTGAGCCATTTAAAAATTTTACACAACTGTTGCTGCTACTATCCCAGAAAATGTTTCTAATTCTCCACGTTCATCTGAAATAATTTGTCCTACTTGAGACTCTACGTCTTTTTAGCCAAAACTTTAGGCGTTAGTGGGACCTGTTTCGTCAAAAAACTTAGCCTCCTCATCCTATGGTGCTGCAGTTAGACCGAACCCTAGCTTCCTTCATCTTCAGCCTCCACACCTCAATATCTTTCGCCTCTCTCGTCCAATTCCTGCATCCCAGCACTTTTCTTGTGTCCACATCGACTTCATGAATCTTATTCATTAACATTCTAAGCCTATTAACTCTTATATAACCTCTGTTTCATTGAGGTTGAGATATAATTCATGATTCTATTGAATTCTTTCCAGCTCCGCAAAATCTACTAATTTCAAGTGTATTGAACGGCTTTGAAAAGCTGCTTGTGATTCTCCTCAGAGTCTTCCTCTCGAATATACTTACATATTCTGTTAGGTAGGTCTTATTATAGTCTTATATATTCTGATTTTGATGTTGCGGTGATGTCTTATTATAATCTTATATATTCAGATTTTGATGTTGCGGTATATTGTTCTGCTTTTAAATATGTTTGCGAGAACAAAGTAAATTTAGACAAAA